CGGGCATAATTTTTGATTTGTATTATTATTTTTATAATTATATATATATCTTCTTCTTCTAACTATATAAATGAGAAATGCAAATCTTTGTACCGGGTAAACTCTGGAACTAATTATTATATCTTCTTGATTTTTTTTTTTTTTAAATAAAGAGTTTATCACGGAGGTTACTATGAAAGAAAACTAGGAAAAACTACACGAAAAGTAAGAAATCTGGATGTCAAAAATATAACAGGGACGCCACTGTCTAGAAAAAAATATACTAATTAATAAAAATGTAGTTTATTGTTTCAGATTAAAAAAATAATAGTGTATTATATATTGGTTGCTACTGGTTAATCGGGCATGTTTGTTGATTTGTATTATTATTTTTTGTCAATATATATACTTATATATATATAAATGAATGTTTGTGTGTAGATTAGACCTCTGGGAAGAAGAAATTAAAAATGGTTAAATTTGATTTTTTTTTTTCCTCTGATTTTAGTATGGTTAGGTTAGGTTAAGAATTTGTATTAATTATATAATTATATTAATCCAACATAGGTAGAACAAGACAAACTTGGTATAACATTGATACTTTGAAATTAGAGTTAAATCATACACGTACGTACAAACATCAAGGGGTCCGCAATTGTTCGGTACGATTCATTGGCGTAAGATAGGTAAATACAATAATTGTTCGCGATAGGGACGGGTCGGCTTATCTTTATTATGTAAAGGTAGGCTACGATCGCCGCCGGTCGGCGGTCCTTTAGTCAGTTGCTCAAAACACAGCCTCGTAACCACGTCGAAACGCCGCCAACCGATTATAAAAAAAATGCTTTATTAAAATAAATACAAAAAAAACCATCAATTTCTTTTTGCCTTAACAAAGGTAGATTGCCTAACTGATAATATACTGCTGCGAATCAGAATTATTATTATTATTCCAGGCAACGGAAAAGTTAAGATAAATTTTGAACATCATACACTGAATATTAAATAACGAATTGAACAAAGTTTGAGTCATATAATAGATTTGGTACATTTAATGGGAAACGAAGTGCACGGGTTCAGCTAGTAAATTAATTAACTATAATATTATATTAATATGGTAAATCACATTTACTTATTATGTTATTAAGAAAATAACTTAAAAAAATTATTCCGTATAAGCATTGATATAATGAACAATATCATCTTATAATAATAATAATAATAATAATAATAATCTTTATTGCAACAATAGATATAATATACAATATTTACAAAAATAAGAGTTAGATATTTCAGCAGTCCCTATAAGCAAAGTGTGTGCTCGGGGCACGGTTCTGATGATTTAAAGTGAATACATTATGAATGTTGAATAATAATTAATTTAAAAACAAAACAAACAAATTAAAATAGTTGCTCTGCTGTACAAAAGGTTACAAGTGGGTCACTGTATAATGGATGGAACTAAATTTGAATTCAATGATATAATATCATTGTTCAAGAAAAACGATTCTGAACGGAGACGGTATTTCAGTCTAGGTATAAGACATATTATATACATATTTATGGTATTAAAAAAAATATTGACCTATAATAGGTAAATATAATAAATTCAAAATTAATAATGTCACAATGTCCATTAGGTACTTATAACACGTTATACATCAATAACAAACCATGATACTATCATAGATATATATACATTAGAAGTTTCAAGTACCCACGAATAATATTATACAATCACAAAAAAATAACTAAAATAGTTAGGTTAGGTTATTCCAGGTTTTTTAATATGTAATTTCGTCCAAATTTGAACTTAAAATGACTACACAAATAAACTGTGCTTATTTATTTTTTAGATTTTTCAACTGATATTGTAACAATATATCAGGAGCATATTGTGTTAAATTCTTACACTATTTGGCCCAACAGATAAAACTTTATTGATATTCATAGAAAAAAAAAAAAAATTGAAATATGAAATTGTCCGTAAACAACTCAAAACAAGTCAAAATATTTTGAAAATGTTATCAAGTATGAGAATTGATAAAATACATATTACTACATACCGTGTACACAGACACAGAAATAAAAAAAATTTAAATTTAAAATTTAAAAAAAAACACATCATTGTAAAATCAATGCATTCATCGTTCCACTCAGAATTTAAATAGAATTGATATTGATACTTTTGCAATGGTACCTGTTCAATGTCACCTTCTGTCAATGAAACTGAATTTAAAAAACTTTTCACAACTCCCTGGTGTTTATTATACAATAATAAATTATATAGAGGATACATCCAAAGCGGACACGGACGTTTTGGCGCCGCCGTTTGGGCGCCAACTAATATTTTGTTAAATGTTACAATTTATTTGAAATGAAAATATATTGTAAATAGTTAGTTATAAAAATGTACTTAAAAAATGACTACAAGATATTGTAAAAATATAAATATAAATATAGTATAGCAAAAAATATTAAATAGTTAAAACACTTAAAACATTAAAAATAATTATTGTAGAAAAACATGAATTTTTATATATTTTAATAATTTATAAATATAAATGATTGGCATATAATCCAAGACGAAAAAATATCAATCGACAATAAAGATCGCACGTTATCTATTGTGACTGTAATAAAGTAAAACGATAAAAGCAAATCATGCTGTCCACACGCAAAACCATTAGATCATATATTGCATAGAATCTACAACGTCGATTATTACGTCTATAACGGTCGTTATCTATATATGATGATAATATGATATAACAATAAAAGTAAAATTTGGTGTTCACCTGATAGTTCGGTGTCATTTTTGTCTAATACAGTATACAAGCACGCGTTTAGTGAAGTGTTAATAAAGTTTATACACAGTTAAATACAAATCAAATTTAAAAATGGAGAAAATTCAATCGAAACGTGATCGAGAAATGCTTGTAAATGACGGTTACATGTATATTTTTGATAAATTTAGTGCCGACAAACAAAAAAAGTTTTGGAGATTTCGTCAAAAGAATGATTGTTTGGCAAGAATTCATACAAGTATTGACAACTTAACGATTTTAAAAAAATCTGAAAATTTACACACGCATGGTTCTGATGCTGCTAAAGTTGAAACACAAATTGCTATTACCAATATTAAAAAACGGGCATTGTCCACGATGGAACAAACATCATGCGTTATCAATGAATGTACATCAAGTCTATCACAAGCGGCAAAGGTACTAAAAAAAAATTATACAATATTACTATACAGGTTGATTCTTTTATCATAAAATACTCGTTATTTCGTCAAATATTGACTTTTTTCTTATTCAACTTATAAAACTTTTATGTTTTTCACCCTTTTGTAATTTATTAAATATTGAAGCCACTAGCAACCTATATTTAAATTTAAAATGTATTAAATTAATAGGGCTATTTTTTATAAACCTATATTTTATATTAGGATTCGCGTATTTTAATTTATATCTTTACATTTTTATACTAGGGTGTTCTTCCAAATAACGATGCATTAAAAAAGCAAATCAGAAGAAAAAGGATAGTTGCTCGGTTTGCAACACCAGCACCTTTGGATCTGATTTTATTAGAAATACCTGAAATGTATCAAACTTATTCGCCAGAAGAAGGTATCCATGAACAATTTTTATTAGCTGATAGTGGTAAAGAAATTAATAGAATTTTAATATTTGGAAGACAAACGGGATTAAATATTTTGGAAAGTTCCAAGACATGGTTTGTTGATGGAACATTTAGTGTTAGTCCTTCATTATTTTCGCAAGTATACATTATTTTGGCAGAAGACGTAGGTGGTATTCATCCAATAATATACGCACTATTACCAAATAAAAAAGGTGAAACTTATCGCAAATTATTTACAATGTTGATCGATCTAAATCCAAGATTATTACCAGATTCAATTTCTATTGATTTTGAAATTGCTGCTATTAGTGCAATTAAAGAAGCGTTTCCTCAAGTAAACGTACATGGATGTTATTATCATTTAACCAAAAATTTTCGGAAAAAAATGGGAGACATAGGAATGATATCGAATTATAACAATGATGCTAATTTTTCTGTGATGGTAAAAATGATAATTTCATTAGCATTTGTACCAATTGCAGATCTGGACGTGGCAACAGATTTGCTTGCTGATGATTTACCTGACGACATTGTTCCGTTACTTGAATGGTTCAAAGAATATTATATAGGAAGAAAAAATAGAAGAAAAGTGGGTGGTCGATCACCACAATTTCCTCCAGAAATATGGAATTTATATCAAAGGGTGTTAACAAACCAAAACCGCACAAATAATCACGCTGAAGCTGCTAATAGGCGTTTAAATATTCAAATGGGGGTTACTAATCCAACAATATGGTCATTTATAAATTGCCTTAAAAAAATCCAAACAGGAAGAGACGTTTTTTATGAACAATTAGTTACTGGTGGAAGTCCACCAAAAAAAAAGAAGAAATACATTGATAATGATAAAAGAATTTTAAAATTAGTGTCTAATTATGATAAAAATAGAATTTTATTATTTTTAAGAGGCATTGCAAACAATGTTTCATTAGGGTAACTATTTTTAATGTAATAATATTTTGACCTTGTAATAATGTTTTAAAACTTTTTATTTTTACTATATATTTATATTTATACTTTGACTCTATATTTATATTTATACTTTGACTATATATTTATATTTTGACTATATTACCTTGTAATAATGTATTAAAACTATTTATTTTTACTATATATTTTTATTACAATTTTGATATAAATTCTATTAGGTTAGTTGGCGCCAAAACGGCAGGGCCAAAACGGCAGCGCCCAAACGGCGGCGCCAAAACGTCCTAGACCGCATCCAAAGATAATTAGTTACTTGTCAACAGTCGACCGAGAAACACGTACGTTTATATCGCGGCAGTTCGCTTATCTGACTATTATCCGATTTATTTGTCATACTTTGTACCCGGCATCACGCTCATTACGATATTGCCGCTTTCCTCATAACTGCTATGAGTGATAATACAATTTGTAATTGTTGCAATTCACTATTTGCGGACCTCGATGTTCCTATCAAGTGTGATGGGTGTGCTTTGTTATTTAACCCGAAATGCTCAGGACTATCTGCCTCTGAACTAAAATGCCTGGGATTGAAAAATCGACTGCTTAAATTTTTCTGTTCTGACTGTGAAAAGGGTCTTAAAGAATTACCAGAGCTCAAATCGCTGTTAAATAAGCTGCTTGTTGAAGTTGAAAATTTGAAGTCAAATTTAGGTAATAATTCAAATCTCTCTAATGAGTTCATTATTAATGAAATTAATGAGCACAATAAACGGGCGAAAAATGTTATTTTCTATAATATCCAAGAAAGTAATTCCAACCAGACCGGTGAGAGATTATCTTACGATAACAAACAGGTAAACAGAACTATTGCATCTATTTTAGTTGACACTGATAATCTACCTACACCGCTAAAGGTCATTCGTCTTGGTCGTTATCAACCTGGTAAACTACGTCCTATCAAAGCTATCTTTGAATCCGATTCCATAGTGTTTGATATTATTCGAAACAAAAATAAACTGACTCATTCAAATCCGCCGTCTACAATATATATATTTACGGATAGAACCCCTTACCAGAGAGACTATATGAAGAGCTTGAAGGAAGAGCTGATGACACGTACTAAGAATGGTGAAGCAGGATTAACTATAAAATTTATTAAAGGTACACCTAAAATTGTTATCGTTAATACTGCGTCTAATACTCTTAATAATAGTCAAAATTTTCGTTAATCTCCATGTAGTCTATCAGAATGTTAGAGGTCTTAGAACTAAGCTTGATTTTTTTTCGTAACTGTGCCTTTAATCTAAATTGTGACTTATTATTTTTGTCTGAAACTTGGCTAAATAGCGACATTAATAATGTTGAGCTTAGTCTTGTAGATTATAACTTATTTAGAGTGGATAGAATATCTAATTTAACTGTAAGAGGTGGTGGAGTTTTATTGGCTACTAGGAAACATCTAAATTGCAAATTATTAAATTTTGACATTATTCAATGTATTGATCAAGTGTTTGTATTACTCTCTTATAATAATATTAACATACTTCTAGGTTGCGTTTATTTCCCACCAAACTCCAAAATCGAATTATATAATAAGCATTGTGATATAATAGAAAAGTTTTTATTAAAAAACTCTATTAAATTTTTTTTAATTATTGGTGATTTTAATGTAAATGAATTTTCAGTCACTGATTATACTTTATTTAGAAATCCTATATCCACTACACTTGTTAATTTTTATATCGATTACTTAAATTTAAAGCAGGTTAATAACATTACTAATAGTCACAATGGTATTCTAGACTTGATATTTTCAAACTCTACTGTTGATTCTATGCATGTCTCTAATTGTTCATTAATACCTTTAATTGATTCATATCATCCACCTTTAGAATTTATCTCTCACTTTCCAATGCCAAATATTTATTTCCAAACTATTTCTCCTGTAATTTTCAATTTTAATTCCTGCAATTTTAATGACATTCTTGCTTTTTTGTCTCATATAGATATTATGGATAATATAACTACCTTGAATTTAGAAAATGCTATATTGAAATTCCATGAAATAATTAATCATTCTTTTGATTTATTAGTTCCAATGATTACTTTAGATCTTAATACTGATCATAACGTTTCTTGGTCAAATTATAATTTAAAAAATTATAATTTAAGAAAAATAATTAAATAAAAAAAATTAGCGTATAAAAAATATAAAATTTCAAATTCTTTATCTGATTATTCTATTTTTTCTAATTTACGCAAGGAATGTAAACAACTATCTAAACAACTTCAATTAAATTACATACTTAAGATTGAAAATAACATTAACATTAATATAAAATCATTTTGGAAATATATTCAATCTCTCAAATCAAATAAATCTAATATTCCAATGTCAATGTTTTTTTATAATACAACTGCTCATAATATAGAAGAAATCTCTCAATTATTTGCTAATCATTTCTCCTCTGTTTACTCTAAAAATAAATTGCCTGATGATATTCTTGAATCTCTTAATGTTAATATGCATGATATAAATATTAACTCAATGTACATATCTGAGGATGAAATTGCTGATTATTTAATATCTATTGATGATAAATCATCTACTGGTCCCGATGGTATTCCACCGATTTTCCTAAAAAAATGCTTTTCAGTGTTAGTCAAGCCATTGCACTATTTATTTAATCTCTCTTTATCAACTGGTGTTTTTCCCACCTTTTGGAAAAAATCATTTGTTACACCTATACATAAATCTGGGAGTAAGAATGATATCTGTAATTATCGGCCAAACTCTAAACTTTCTGCTATACCTAAAGTATTTGAAGCTATTATTTCTAAAAAACTGTCCAGTATATTATTAAATTATATTAGTCCCGCTCAGCATGGTTTCTTAATGAAGCACTCGATTTTCACCAATTTACTATTGTATCAAAATTTTCTAACTAATGCTTTAGATCAAGGTCTTCAAGTTGAAACCATATGCACTGATTTTCAGAAGGCTTTTGACAAAGTTGATCATATTTTACTTTATTACAAATTAAAATCATTTGGTATAGATGGAAACTTTCTTAAATGGCTATATTCGTACCTCACAAATAGAACTCAAGCCGTCAAAATCTCATTTCACTCATCACAAAATTTTCAGGTCTCTTCTGGTGTCCCTCAAGGTTCCCATTTAGGTCCTCTACTGTTTCTAATTTTCATTGATGATTTACCACATTATATATTAGATAACTCTAACATAGCACATATTTTATTATTTGCTGATGATGCTAAAATTTTTTGCAAGATAAATTCTGTAGCTGATCAAATAAATCTTCAATCAATATTAGATAAGTTTGTTATTTGGAGTAAAAAAAATTATTTACCATTAAATATTAATAAGTGTAATGTAATTTCTTTTATCCGTAGAGCTAATCCTCTTTTGAATCAGTATATAATTAATGAGTGTCCCTTATCAAGAGTCAATTCAATCAAAGATTTGGGAATTCACTTTGATAGTGATCTTGGCTTCAAATTGAATCATAAAACAATCCTCAACAAATCATATAAGATGTTAGGTTTCTTAAATAGAAATACTAAAGAATTTAAAATTCCTAGATGCTTAAAATTACTTTATACTTCTTTAGTTAGATCTAACCTTGAATTTGGCTCACTTGTTTGGTCGCAAAATCTAACAACATTTTACTCTGAACTTGATAATGTTAAAAACAAGTTTCTCAAAAATATTTCATATAAACTAAATCTTCCTTTCTCCAGAGACTCAATTATACCAATTCAGGTATCATTGGATCTCGATAGTCTTTCTCTGAAACGGAATCTAACAGATATGTTTATTTTTGACATTATTAATGGTTTTGTTCTTTGTCCTGAATTATTAGCAATGATTGGTTTCCGAATTCCTCGTCTTTATACGCTCAATCTAGATTTATTTGTTATTCCACATTAGAGAACTAATAGTGGAGCCTTCTTTTTTCTACCAAGAGCTCTTAGGTTAGCCAATTTAATCTCCCACCATCTTGATTTTTTTAATTCTACTCGTGTAAATTTTAAACTAAATACTGTATTGCTTCTAAAAAAAAACACATTTTATCTAATTATTATTATTACTTAATATTGTTACTTGTCGTATACATTTATTCTTAGTCATTTATTTTTAATTTTAAAACATTATTTAAATTTTTGTATTTTTATTACCTACTTAATTTATATGTATTTTGATTGTTGTCATATTGTTATATTATATACTTTGTAAAGGGCTATTGCCCGTTGAATATATTCAATAAATAAATAAATAAATAAATAATGAAGTATTAACATCGTTTGTAAATGGATCTACTTGGAGAAACATACAAATTAAATTCAAAGGTAAAATTGTTTTACCAATTTTTGTTTATTATGACGACATTTAAAATTATTTTAAAATTCAACTCTCAAATTTAAAAATCTACAAGCTACAGTGAAAGTTGAAATATAAAACAATGTTTCCAATAATAATATAGGTACCTACATTAAATATTAATTCACTATATTTTGTTTAAAATTGAACTGAATATATGTTTCGGTTTAAATTCAGTACTTGAATTGGAAAAGAAACAGAAGAGATACTAATTTATTTATTCGTATGACTTAATAATGAGAGCACTAACAAACATTTTTCCTATTAAGGTTAAATTAAACTATAAATATTACTATTATAAATTTATAACTAATATTCATAAACATTCTAAGGTACAAAGTACCATAACAAGCAAATTATAACAAATATCACATAAGTATCACAGATTTAAGTTTAGATGTCTACACCCAAGACCTCTAACTAGGCCACTGCCTCAAGGCTCAAGGGGTCATTTTGATGAAGTCCTCCAGGTCACCATCTTAACTTCTCAAATGGCAATCCAGGATTAAGTGTTGCATTGATTGTCGCACACCACAGTCGCATCCCGGACTATCTCTGAACTTCAATTTGTATATGAGTTCGTTGCATCTTTGAATTGTGTACATATCGTATACAAACGATCATTTATTAAATTTTCGATTCATCTCTAGCATCATCAACAATTAAACTAAAAATGTCGCTCTCAAGATTAACTTATTTTACTATTTTATGTAATGTAAGATTCAATGCAGCTTTAATTAAATAATTTTGTATATCAGGTGACATATATTTACTATTTTTGGTTATGATTTAAATTTAGTTTTAAAATTTTTATTTTCTAATGAAAATAATTTAATAATTTCTAAAAATTTACCTTCGTTTACGTCATGACAAGACCAATTTGGATTATCTGTATCTTCGGTAGAATTGATTTTTCGATGTTCTCGTATTCCTATATTGTATTCCTATATTGTCGAGCCCAATACAAATTGCATCGTATTATACTTGTTAATGTTTCTCTGTTTTTTATAATTTGGTCCTTAACTTGTTGGTTAATTTGAGATGAAACTGAGCCGGTTTTTTTTGTTGAGTTGTATTTTATTACAGCAAATTTATGCGAACTAGTATTTTCATGTTTTTTTGTCATATTACTAATATTTTTCCAATAGGAATATCCACGAGTAATTAAAGCATCTTTTTCAGTATGAGACTGAAAAATCGTTAGATGAGGAGGAAAATGACGACAATAATAACAAAAAAATGGAATTTAGCATAACTGAATATTCCAACTACTTACTATACCAACTGCTTTGAAAAGATCGATGTTTTCCAGAAATAACTAAACGAGGAAAATTAATAACAGGTTGCACAGCACTTGCGTCACTATTTGAACTTAAATCGAGAACTTTCAATTTAAAAAGTTCATCGGAATTTGTTTGTTTCGAATCTGGTTTTTATTGATTTCATTATTTTGTACTGAACTACTGAAATAATATCGTGGCTCAAGAAAAATAGTTCTGTTGTTTGGAATTATTTTATAAAGGATATAAATAATTCTAATGAGGCCCAGTGCTCACTTTGTAAAGAAACTTACTAAAGGTCGAGCGGTACGTCAAATTTGATGGAGCATTTAAAGAGAAAGCTTATGACCAGGTTAGAGCGTGATAATATTATACAAGCCAGAGAAAAGGGACAAGATAGAATTCAATATATTATTAATGTACAAGGTAACTAAATACTTTTGTGTATTTAATAATACGTGTTATAATTTTAAATATGGTAGCATAAGATATTTATTTCTAAATTAATTTGTATATTTTAATATTGAAGAACTTGTTCAAGATATTG